TTGATTATATGTTGTTTTCCAGTAGTGATAATCCAACAGAGAAAAAGCAAGCAAGTTTGGCAACAAAGAAATCCTCAACAAACTTGGGCAGGACTAGAATTCTCTATGCACGAGGAAGAATATGCTTGGCTAGAAGGATGTTACGTGGGAATCACTAGGTTAGTAGATATAGTCCCAATCTTATAGGAGAGATTATTTATGGAAGGCTACTTTGCATGCTCAATCAAACCCATAGGTGGAGAGATGGTCTTACTAAACTGCAAGGATAAAAGGAGTTGAGAAACCTGGTTGAATCAACTTCAAATTGGCACAGATAGTGGTTCGATGAAATTAGACCATAGACTCCAAGACTGGTAGCTAGTGAGAGATTCATTTGGCTCAAGTGCTTTGGGGTCTCTTTACACAGTTGGGGTCCTAAGTTCTTTGAGACTATAGGAAGTCTATGGGGAAAGTTCATTACTTTAGATGATAGCACCAGAAAAAAGCTTAGATTTGATATGACAAGATTACTAATTTCAACTTTGATGATGGAGTTCATATCTAGAAGCCTCAGAATCGAAGTAAACGGTGAACTGTTCAATGGTGAACTGTTCAATGTTAAGATCTCCGAAGAGGAATCAATAAATAATTTGTTCTCCATGAAATCAAATTATGTATTCACATTTCAAAGGGAGTCCGATACTATGTCGAGTGAATCATGGTCAATGGAGACAGACTTAGAAGGAAACTACCATGCAGACATGCACAGCTTAGGAGACGAGAAAGTGTAAGAAGAAGATAATGACGTGGACAGCAGTGGTTTGAAAGAAGAGGAAAGGTCGACAAATCAAAATTTAAAAATAGGTTGCATGAAAGAGGACATTATTTGGCTCAAATGAAAGAGGTAGCAGAAGGGAGGTGGTTGATTCCCAAGAAAAAGCTGCAATAAAGGTTGAGGATTTGGACAGTATTTGGCTTAATAAAGAAGGTGGCAGAAGGGAGATGGCTACTTCCCAAGAAAAAGCTGCAATGGAAGCAGAGGATCTGGTGGAAATGGTGCAAGATAGCTTCCCAAGTCAAGCCTCTGTGCTTAATCATGATTCAACTCCTAAATTACAAAAGTCCAATAGTATTGAATCTTTGGGCCTAAACGATGGCAAAGGAAAAGAACCCAACTTTGGGCCCATTAACAGGCCTAGTAGCAACCCAACAATACCACATCAGATTTTTATTGCTGAAAGGGAGGATAACTCTAACAAAGAATTACATATCAGAATGGAGGTGGAGACTAGCTTAAAAGAGGAATGCTTCTGGGAAGGGTTTGAGAGTGAATCAGGCCGAGTTCAGGACTGGATGTGCCGACGGGAAAGAAAATTGTCCAAGAATGAAAGAAAAAAGAAGACAAGAGCTAGATCTTGTGTAGCCATCTACAAGGGGATTGAAGAAATTAAAACCACAGACCAACAATCAAAGAACAGGGGTCGAAGAGGTACGAAGAGGCTCTTGAAAGGTTTAAATTCCTTCTTTCCTCTCAAACCGAGAGAAACCAATAGCAGATGATTCGATTGGTGATAGCGGAATCTTAAATCACAACAAAATTCTACAAAATTGGAATCCAAGAAGCCAAGCCAAGAAGACTGGGATTTCACCAAAAAAGTGGGAGTTGTGGCAAGGGAGAACGAGGATGAGGCGATCAAGAGAATCGAACAAATGGAAGTCAAGGACAACAAGAATAAGAAATATAGGACAAAGACATTTGTAACCACCCACAAGCTAAGTTCATCTGCCCTCAAATGATTTTGCTCACATGGAATATTCGAGGTGTAGGAAGTGGGGGCAAGGAGGGAATTAGAGACCTGATTAGGAGAGAAAAATTGGAATTTGTTGCAATCCAAGAGTCCAAACTTCAAGTAGTAGAAAAAAGCATGTGTAGATCTTTATGGGGCTCAGACAATTTTGACTGGGCTACAAAGGCCTCCAATGGTAGATCCAGTGGCCTCATTGCGTCTGGGATAAGGATGTTTTTAGGAAAAGCAGTACTTTTGTAGGCAACCATTACATAAAAGTTTCCAAGGGGCCAAACTCGACTCCAGTATCTATAATAAATGTTTATTCCCCATGTGACTTAGATGGAAATGATCACTTTGGGAAGACTTTGTCAAGGAAAGCTCTACATAATACAATCTTGTCATTAAACTAAAGATTTGATTCTCTAGATTACGTTTGATTTCCTATAAATAAAGTTTATATTATTTCTTTCCTTGTGTTGCTTATTTCCTTAGTAAAATGCTTTGTATATATTTGAATTCAAGTGTGAATAACAGACAAGCAATTCAGCCTATCTTCTCTTTGCCTTGTTAGTGGTATTAGAGCACTTGTCTCTTACGAGATTTTGATCCACCATGGTAGACGAAACACCTCCCAAGACACCCAAAAATTCTGCAACATCAAACACTGCCTCCACCACCAATACCATTGCCACTAACAAAACTATTGTTGTCACTACCTCAACCAAACCTTCATCCACTAAGCACTTGATCATCTCATTCAATCCAACCCAATTCTCACTAAAACTTACATCAAACATCTATCTTACGTAGAGAGAATAGATTACCTCCTCGATGATTACCTATAGGCTGCTCCCCTTTCTCAAAGGCACAAAACCATGTCCTCTAGTTCCTGCAACTGTAGAAGAAATTCCAGATTCTCCCTTTGACATTTGGGTAAGGCAAGATCAAGCCTTATGCCATCCTTGCTTACCGCCTTCTCATATTCAATTGTCCCAAGAATTGCCACTACTCCAACCTCAAATCAAGCCTGGATCTCATTGGAAAAATTGTATGCAAATAGATCCATGGTGCGATATGTGATATGGCGAGATCACCTTCATAATCTTTGTAGTGAGGGAAAAATAGTGACTAAATATTTAAACCTTGTTAAGTCAATCACCGATGAGCTTGAGAACATGCATCGGCTAGTATATGATGAAGAACTTTCTATCCATGTAATGAACGGTTTCAAACTAGAGTTTTGAGAATTCTCTACGACCATGTGTACCTGTGAAACACCTTTGTAATTTGAGGATTTTCAAGATAGACTATTGGCACACGAGGAGTCACTGCATCCTGAGGAAAGGAGGCTTGAAACAATACTAGTTGTTGCTCATCATGCTGCTATCTAGATGAGAAACTCAAGGGGACCAAATCCTTATTATTCACAAGCTGGTTCAAATTTTCAAACTAATAATTTTGTTGCTAACCAACCTATTTCTACAGGTTTTAACCCATCTTTTTAGCAACCTATTCCTTATTCATGGCACAGGCATAACAAAAATTAGCTCAAGAATCAATATAACAAGAGAAGAAATAATAATTGGAGGCCTAACAATAACAAGAACTCTTTTGCTTGCCAACTTTGCAATAAATCAAGCCACTTCACAAATAACTGTCCTCATTATCATGTGCAAGAACAGACACCAATGGCAAATTTTGCATCCTTTGGTGGCACCTCTCACAATAACTGGCTGATTGATTTTGGGGCTAATAATCACATTACAAACAACTTGACAACTCTTGCTTTGCATTTCGAATGTGATGGACCCGATGAACTTCAGATTGGTGATGGTTCAGACCTAGAGGTCACACACATAGGTAATACAACTATACCAAATTCTTCTTTTCCCCTCAATAATGTATTATGTGTACCACAAGCCTCACGTAATCTTATCTCCGTGTCTCAACTTTGCAAGAGCACTAATTCCTTTGTTGAATTTCATCCCAACTACTTTCAAGTGAAGGATCATCGCACGGGGGCGATTCTACTTCAAAGGCCAAACAAACATGGGGTCTACCAAATTCCCATCAAGGAAACTTTAATTCTCCACCGATGGCATTAGCTGGTGAACGTGTCTCAAATTTAAATGGTTAAATATCCTTTTTGGTCCCTTTACTATAGGAAAAAGCCCATTTTTAGTCCTTATATTGAAAAAATCCCATTTTTAATCCTTAAAGTTTGAAATTTGGCCCCTTTTTATTCCCTCCATTAAATTTTGGTTGATGTGGTAGGTTAATTAATGGAATTACGTAATTTATTTTCTTTATATAAATGACATGGAAAATATAAAAATAAAAAATGAAAATCCGACATCCCACATAGACATTAAACATAACCTGTAATTTATAAAAATTAAAATTTCAAAATTAACCTTAACCATCCTTGTTCGTCATTCAATCTTTTCCCATGCAAACATCCAAAATCAACAAAAAACAAAAACCAGGTCAACAATTTCACATAATCAAAGATCTAAACAAAAAAATGATGGCAACACAACAACACAAATTTGAGTTTCCCGAACAATTTCACATAATCAAAGATCTAAACAAAACAATGATAGCAACAGAGCAACACGTGAGGAACCCAGGGGCCTAGGTTTGTGACAAACCTGACAATTGCAACATAGCAACATGCGAGGAACCTAGGCACCTAGGTTTGCATGGAACCCAGGAGCTTGGGTCCTCGACAAACCCAAAAGCCTAGGTTCCCCATGAACCTAGGCTATTGGGTTCACGAAAAACTCAATGAACACAAGGAACCCAGGTGCCTGGGTGTGCGACAAACCCAACGAACCCAATTCCCTTTCCAGATCTAATTTCCAAGGCTGGAGGAAGGAAAAGGATAAGACAAAAAGGGGAAGAAGATGGGGACAAATTAGTAATTAAAGTCCTCTCAACATAACCTTTAAAATATTTATAATGGCAAGTATATAATTAAATGATTTTTAAGGTTATATTAAACAAAAAATTTAGCCATTTCATCAATTTTTACTAAATAGATTTGTCACATGACTTAAGTAAAGAAAAAAAAAATAAGTTTTTCTATTAATTAACCTATCACATCAACCAAAACTTAACTGAGGGACTAAAAAAGGGTTAGATATCAAACTTTAAGGACTAAAAAAGGGATTTTTTTAGTACAAGGACTAAAAATGGGCTTTTTCTTGTAGTAGAGAGACCAAAAAGAGTATTTAACCAATTTAAATTGGCATTCACGTCTAGGGCATCCTTCTTTTAGAATTTTACAAAACATTATTCATACTTTTCATTTGCCAGATCTTCCTAAAAATGCATTTGAGTCTTGTGGGTCATGTTTGTGCTTTAAAAGTCAAAAACAACCCTTTAGTTAGTCAACTATTCAAAGTCATGCTCCTCTTCATGTGATTTTCTCAGATGTTTGGGGCTCTACCCCAATTTCTTCAATTGATGGAAATAATTATTTCATACTTTTTATTGATTATTTTATGCGTTGTATATGGATCTACCCATTAAAAAGAAAATCTGATGTTTCCATAATATTTCCTAAGTTTAAGACTCTTGTGGAAAAACAATTTGGTATTAATACCAAATCATTTTATTCTGATGGGGGTGATGAGTATGTTAATCTTCATCACTATCTTGTTGATCATGGTATTTCTCATTTACAACTCCATCTTACACACCCGAACTTAATGGCATTAGTGAACAACAAAATCGACAAATTGTTGAAATTGTGCTCACACTAATGCACCAAACTAACCTGCCAACCGATTTTTGGTCTTATGCAATCACTATTAGTGTCTATCTTATCAATCAACTAACCTCTTCAACCATATCCTTTAAATCTCCATTTAACAAATTATTCCACATTAAACCTAATTATTTCAAATTGAGAATTTTTTTGTGTGCATGTTATCCTTGGCTACGGCCTTATCATACTAATAAACTCCAATCGTGATCCCACTGATGTTTATTCTTAGGTTATTTAATAGAAAATCTTGGTTATAAATGTTTTGATCTTGAATCCCAAAAAATTTTGCACTCACATCATGCTGTGTTCAATGAAAATTTCTTTCCTTTTAAAATAAATTATGTGTCCAAGTCTTATCCAATTAATATGGAGTCTTGGTTAATGCCAAGCCAGATGCCAACTAATAGTGAGACACGTTCTTCATCTAATTCACTGTCACGGCCTAAGAAGCACGACTCATCCCTCGCAACTATGTCACCTTATGAAATCCACAGTCGCTACCTAAAATCTGGTAAAACCTTCGTGTCTCTCAGGCTTTGAAAGATCCAAACTGGAGGCAAGCTATGTCTGATGAATTCACTACACTTGTCTGTCAAGGCACTTAGGATTTAGTCCCTTGGTCTCCTAATCAGAATGTGATTGGATCTAAATGGGTTTTTCGATTGAAGTGTAAGGTTGATGGGAGTGTAGAGCATTACAAGGCACATCTTGTAGCAAAAGGTTTCCATCAACAACCTGGCAGTGATTATTTAGAAACCTTTAGCCCGGTGATCAAAACCGCAACTATCAGAATGGTGCTCGTATTGCTATAAGTAAGAATTAGCCCCTTCAGCAATTACATATTAATAATGTCTTTCTCAATGGTACTCTTGATGAGAAGATATTTATGCAACAACCCACTGGTTTTGTTGACGAGAATTTTCCACATCATGTTTGTCACTTGCACAAATCATTATATGGATTGAAACAAGTCCCTTGTGCCTGGTTTCGAGAACTAAAGAATTTTTACTTACTCAAGAACGTTGTTGTTCCAATTATGATCCCTCTCTGTTTATTTTGAGGAAATCTGAGGTTGTTGTTTATGTCCTTATCTATGTTGATGATATCTTGATCACCAAGAATTCTCCACAGATTGTTGATCAATTAGTATCTTCACTCAGTTCATGGACTTCTTTAAACGATCTTAGTCTTCTACATTTCTTTTTGGAGGTGGAAGCTATCACTACTTCTACTGGTTTGTTCCTTAGCCAACATCAATACATTGGAGAAATTTTACAAAAAGCACAAATGTCTGAAGCTAAAGGCTGTTAGTACTCCCATGGCATCTTCTTGCTCATTGCAACAGGCCACTAGCAATACTTTAATAGATCCTACACTCTATCGCCAAATTGTTGGTGCCTTGCAATATTTGTCTCTCACTCGCCCCGACATATCTTTCACCGTCAACAAGCTTTCTCAGTTTCTTCATTGTTCTACAAAGTTTCATTAGTAAGCTATTAAGCAAATGTTACAATATCTTAAAGGTACACAATATCATGGTTTACTTTTATGGCCTCAG